AGCTTGAAGTGACGTACGAAGGTACCGATCAAGTTCGCGAAGCCAAGATCGACTTCCTCACCCAAGAGTACGAAATGTTCCGGATGAAAGAAGGTGAGAAAATTGATGACATGTTCGACCGGTTCTCAAAGATCATCAACGATCTTCATGCTCTCAAAAAGACCTACACCAACAAGGATCTTGTGAGGAAAATCCTGCGAAGTCTCACACCCGAATGGAGGTCAAAAGCCGATGCAATCTTCGAATCATCGGAGTCTCCAACGTCACCATCGACGGGCTAAGAGGTAATCTTAAAACCTATGAATCTACTATTCTAACCCCGTCTTTGGATGAACAAAAGAAAAAGGGGATAGGTCTCAAAGCCACCAAGGAACCGGTTGAAGAGGCTTCAAGCGATGACGACAATGAATTCGGGCTCGTCATCAAAAAGTTCCACAAGTTCATGAAGAAGGAATGTGAGCGAAAGGGAAGGAAGCACGACGGTCCTCCCAAATGCTACGGCTGTGGCTAGATTGGCCACATCAAGCCAAGGTGTCCAAAGGCCAAACACGGCAAGGACAAGCCTGGCTTCAAGAAGCAAAGGGCCTACATCTCTTGGGGTGGCGATTCTGGCGACGAATCAACCGACCAAGAGGAGGACGAAGCTGCAAATCTCTGCCTCATGGCACACAAAGATCAAAGCGATGACGTCCAAGAGGTATGTAACATTTCTTCCGACTCTTATACTTTTGAAGAAATGCAAGAAGCACTTCATGAACTCTATGAGGAATTTGTTAGCGCTTCTAAAACAAATAAATCTTTGAAGAAACAACTTTCTTTACTTGAAAACGATTTTGAAAAATTGGAAAAAGAAAATGAAACACTTAAGCAAGAAAACAAATTTTTTGGAAAAAGAAGCGCTGACAAACCAGAAAGCTCATCAAGTGAATGTGGGTCTTGCAAAGCTTTAAAAGAGCAAGTCGCTAAACTTGAGAGCACGGTCAAGAAATTTAATACTCCTCATAAAGACTTAAATTTACTTCTTGACACTATGCATTTTTCTAAGGAAGGAATAGGTTTTGATAAAA